TTTAAAACAAAAGAAAAAGGAAGAAAGGACTGTATCACAGCTACTGAGCTAAAGAAATTCTGTGCTCAATATGTGGAAATGCCCTAATTAATGCAAGCTACAAGGCTTCTTCCCACCCATCATTTAAAATTTGACAAACAAAAATATGCCTTAATATAAACAGTCCGAAAGCATGAGCACATTACTGTGCACTTGTGCACACAGCAGCCGTTTAATTTGCATCATCACTCATGCTTCACATCTCCTGCAGGCTAGAAGCTGCTGGTCAGTGCCTGGTGGATCAGAGAGCAATTGCTGTTGGCACACGAAGTCCCAGAGCAGGAGAGAGACCAAAGTCCAGGGCTTTCATATGGGTGAGATCCAGGCTTTGCTGCAGGGAGTGGAGGAGATGAACCAGCTGCGTGAATGCATTTCTCAGGGTGTCAGACTTGACAAGGGGAACTGTACTAACACTTAAACAAAGGGTAATGACCTGCAAGTGCTTCTGTGATAGTTGCATGTCTGCCAGCGAGGCAGTGAAAACTGAAGTGGAGCAGGCTTTGGAGGGCAAAACATTAATGGAGGAAGAGAAAGGGGAGCACAGAGAGAGAGAGACACAGCAATCTCAGATGTCAGGGTACAGAGGAAAAGAAGGGAGCACTAGAAAGACAGAGGCTGTAGCTGTCATAAAGGTAGGAAAAATAATTTAATTAGTAACAGGAACAAAAAGGAGTAGGTCTCTTTTTCAGAAAAATGAGCAGGAGTAAACAAGAAAAACAGCTGAGACAAAACACCCCTTGGACAATGTCAGAAGGGAGAAGTTAAGGAGCAATGAGTTCCTCTGCCTCTCTGCCTTAGTAACAGATGAACACTTGTTAGTGATGGATAACTCTGACAACATGATTAATTCTGAACTTTTGTCTCTGGAAGGCATAATGGTCTTTGTGACCATTTTGCCCAGCTGCTGGTGTGAAAAGTATCTCTTGGTGATTTTCGTTTTGGGTCCAGTGCTCACTGAGGTAGAGCACTTCTCTCAGAGTGGAGATGGCCTCTGCCTTTCTGCCTAAGGTCTCGCCTTGAATGGTTAAAAAGCCTGCTTTATTTCTGCTGCCATCTGGAGTTATACCTGACAAGGGATGGCAGCTTAGTTTGAAAGACCTGGAATGTGACAGTCTTCAACTGCCATGAATCAGAACTGAGCATTTTAAGGTAAAATGTCTGTGTTAACAAGCAGCTGAGTTGTCCATGAAGCCCAGGCATGGCAAAAGCACTAGCCCCAACAATCTCTGCAGGCTAAACTATTCCTTCATCACTCAGAGCCTGCAATGCAGATTCATGTCTCAGCCTTTAGACCTTGTCCTTCATTTGCCTTCTCAATTAAAGCATCTCCCAAGTTCCCTCTTTACCTTAACTCAGCTAATGCACAAGCTATCCAAGGTTTACTACAGAACTGTCAGTAAGACGGTGGGATTTGTCTGACTGTTTCACTATCCTATTACAGTTTCCTTCTTCTGGCATCGTATTTATTAGCAGTAGGTATCCTGTGCCCAGGAAAGTGCTGTCTGTGAATATGGACATAGGAGTGAGCTGTAACTGAATTGACTGCTCCCCATAACAGCTGTTTGCTTGCAAAAGCAGTGGGTAGCAGAGTAGACATAACATGCAATGCTGCTGAGATCCCAGCTATCTTCACAGCTATTTCAGCACAGCCATAACATGCAATGTACAGGTAGCCTTGAGCAAGAAAATGGTCAGAAGTGGGTCATTCTTCCCTACCTCTTCTAGACCAGTAATGGAAAGGGCAACAGGACCCCCTAGGTGCAAACTCACTTGTCTAATAGTAGTTAGTAAACATCAACGGGTCTGGGAAGTGAACTTCCACACTGGGTTCAGTGGCTTTTCAGCAGGTGGTTAGTGCATGAGTGTCTCACCATGGAAAAGGTGTTTGTCACAGCCCTACTACAGATTAATCCATCACATTGTCAAAACCTGCAAACAATTCAGATATGGCTCTCCAGCAGTGAATTCCTTGGCTCTAGAGGGAAAAATCAGCCATTCAAACCTGGCCTGGTTTCAAAAGTGAGGATCAGTCATTAGCATTGCCAATAGCACCTGGAAAGGGTGTGTGCCTTCAGGGAGAGTTACAAGGCACAGAGGCAACCCTTCAAATGAATCCTCTTGTCTTTTTTACACGCAACACCATACAACTTTGACAATGTCAAGCTGCACTGGTGAAGTGCATCCATGGGCTAGAAACGTTTATAATGAGCAGATTTAGTGCATCCCTGCAAGCTGCTTGTCCCCTTTTGCCTAAGCCACCTCACCGAAGGAAAGAGGTCAGGGATTTTGCTCTGAGTCAGTATGTTCTTGGAGGGTAAAAGCACATGTGAAGGGACTAAATCAGCGTCTTTGTCAACACATGGAGGTCAAAGGAAGAGTGAAAGCCTGTCAGTATATGCTTGCTGTTTGAGCCTGGCATGTTGACACCTTCCTTGGCCAGTTCATGTTCGATGCAATTAGGTACCCTCCCTAGCAGCAATGATTCACAAACTTTTTGGTCTGCTTCCAGCTGGCTTCCCTGTGGCTGAGACAATACCTCAGCTGGTCTCTCAGACCTCTCCATCTGGATGCCTCTGTCACGGCCCAGTCTGAACTCTGTCTTCCTCTTCAGCCTTTGCCAAAGGTTGCACCCACTCCAGCAGGGTCCTACTAACAGGGCAGGTGTGGCACCATCCCTCCTGTCATCTGCTTACTGAATGATTGGTATTGCCTCCTAACTCAGCCTGCTTCCTCAGTCCCTTCCTCCCCATAACAAAGCAGCTCTTTAGCTCAAGCATGGCAGTACGAATCACCTTGCCAGCTGGCCTGCCATTGCTCTCCTTCTCTCCAGAGGGCAAATGCACTCATGACGCTCCGAAGATCCTTCAATTTAACCCAGATACAGGCTTACAGGTATGTTCACTTCTCACACCTGATTCCCTGGCCTGTCAGTTTTTTGGAAGAACAGAAAGTTTGGACATGTCAAAACATTTTAATATTGAGTCAGTTTGTTTTCAGATTGCATCTGACTATGTTACCATGTGTCATCTTTCTACAAGCACTGGACTTTAACAGGAGTGCGTATGCCATGACTACAGCCAGCCACAGGCATCCTGTGATGCTGCATGGCTGTGTAATTCTATTAGCCACAGTGCAGCATGGGCAGCATAAATTCAAGGAGGAAGTATGGGCTTGATTGGATAAGGTGAGGGAACTGCTAGGTTATGGGCCTGGACAATTAACATCATTCTAACAAGCATTGCAACTTGGGAAAAGCAGACAAAATACAATTTTTTTTTGTTTTTACTCTTTTTTCATTGGAAAATGTTGGCAAAATGGAAATTTACAAGAAAAATAATTATGCCGAAGCACATGTTTTCATCCTAAAATCATTCATGAGAATTTATATGTAACTTCAACTTGGAGATGCCTCATAGCATGCCTTGTGGCCTCCACTTACAACTATGTTTAATTTGCTGTGGCTTTTCAGAGTGCAGGATGGCTCCCAGTCCCCCCAGAGACTCTTGTGGTTTGGGTTTTTTTGTTTTATCCTCTCTGGTGAAGACTCCCTGACTCCAGGGAGCTCTGGAGTAGGGCCTCTGTTATTAATCCTCCAAGACCACCTTTTAATCCCTCAGAACTTGCTATAGGCAACGTTGTCCACTTCAAACGTCTCTATGCAAGCAACTCATTCCTAAGTCTCTCTCATGCAGACAGACCTCTTCCCTTCTACCCATATTTTTAACAATTTGCTAGAAGATAAATTGCTTTCTTATTCTGAGCTGCAGCATTGCCTCTGTGTTCTGCAGTATGAATGGCATTCTTTCTATGTTTATAGCTTTTCTCTCCACACTTAAACAACAACGTAACTGCCTGGAAATCAGCACCATTTCTGTTTTGATCAAATCATTCACCCAGTCACTCAGATTTGTGTGTGCTGGATTAAGCACGCATAAAGGACGTTTCCTGTCCAAGCTGCTTTCTGGGAGGCTGGACAGCACCACATAACCTGTGGTGCCTTCCACTCCTCTGCAGTCAAACAGAGCCCTCAGTTTCTCAGACCCTTTGCCTACAGATTCTTTTCAGGCA